TTTCAACTTCTTTGGACTACTAATCCATTTCAAGGTTCCTACTAACAATCTGTGATCTCCTTCCATGTTTACACTTGGTATCACCTTTACATCAACCAACTTTTCTCCCCAAACCTTATCTACAATGACGTAATCAATGACACTTTTCTGATTTCCATCCCAACTGTATCTCGTGACTACATGACTCTCCCTTTTCTGGAATCTACTGTTTCCTATCGCTAATCCATTTCTTGCACACAAATCCAATAGGCGTTCGCCTTCTCTATTCCGTGGTCCATATCCAAAAGCACCTAACATCTCTTCATATCCTCCCCTATGCCTACCCACTTTAGCATTCAAATCCCCCATTAAGATGTTAACATTTTCTAAATGTTCTCCTAATTCCACTTCAAAATTATCTTTCTCTTGGTCTGTACAACCAAGGCCCCACTAGAAAAACAGGCCATGCTGCAGGATCCATGACATCACACTAGTGGATAGATTTCATTGATAAATTCATTGCCATCACCATTTCCATATGTTTTAGGTAAATAAACAAGCTGGCTGTTTGTAAGATTTTAATGATAAGAGTTTAGTACAATATCCACCACTGTGACGTATTGTTGCGCTGCCCGTGCTGCAGCATGGCCTGTTTTTTCTAGTGGGGCCTTGGTACAAGCCACTTGTGGCGCATACCCTTGCATTATAACACACTTCTCTGCCTTCATCTTAATTGTCATGCTGATCATTCTATCTGATAAATACTTCACCTCTTCAATTCTTTCCTTGATTTCTTTATTTCCTATGAAAGCAACACAAGTTCTTCCCCTTCTATTCCCACTCCAAAAAAGTTTGTACCCATCACGTAATTCCTTCTCATCATGTCCTCTCCACTTAGACCCAGCACATCTAATCTCCTATCCTTCATTACATCGACTAATTCTTCTATCTTATTTGTTAGCGTAAGTATATTCAATTTTCCAAATCTTAACCTTAAACCTTTCCGGTCAGTTCCATTTATTTCATCATTCCTTGGCCTATTTTTATTCTTGAAAGCAAATGAAAATCCACTGTTGGCTTGCTGGGTCTAACACCTTCCAGAGCCTTCACCAGAGCCCCATTCGCCGCCCCTTTTGTTTCCTACTTGGGACGTTGCCCACCTCTCACGGCGTGGACGTGGGGTTGGACTTTGAGAGGCTTGGATTTTTATACAGTATTAAGCGTTTTTATGGGTTTTATATATATGTTTATGTCATGTTGGATTAACCGTGGTTTTCAGTAATTTTTGTAGTCTCTCTCCCCCCATTACCATGGATAATCAAGGTTCTACTGTACTCCCGCCGTAGCACACCTGCAGACTAAGCGAATTTCCATTTACCGGGCTGGTTTTCCACTAAAATATTCTCTTAAAATTGTCAGCTTTATTACCTAATTAAATGACATTAATTTTAATGAGTTTAATGGGTTTGCTGCTACATTACAAGGAAGGTAATAAGGTGTGTTTGTTTTTAATTGAAATGTTGCTAGCTTAGTATGAAATAAAACGATTTGCCAAATTCCATTTAAATATATCCTTAAACCATGCAAACTACAACGGTTTTTATATCATCTATAAGAATAACATGGGAATTTCAAATAACCATTCCTTGTTTTAATAAATCAAGAGTACCTTGTATTCTGCCAATCTTGGGAGTGATCTCTGCATGCCCCCGATGGCATTTCAAAACCAGTAAACCCCCTGATTGTGGGTTTAATCTTGTTTTCAGGCTGATCAGTTTACTTAATCTTCTGTAGGTGATCTTTTACCTTGTATTACTTTTTTAATTTCAGCTTGGGGTTTTTATGGACATATGAATGCTCCTTTTTACAATTTTTTTTTAATTAATTCAAATTCAAATTATCTTTATTTATAGTATCAAATCAAATCATTCTTTATTCATTATACATAAAATAACATTGTTTTGAATAGAGTAAAATAGGCTATAAATACATATAACTACATATTACAAAGTGCTTAAAATATACTATTAAGATAAGTGAAGAATTTCTAATTGAATATATTAAAAATATAACACTATCGCAATCACAATAACATTAGCAGTTATTAAAATAAAAAACATATACCCATTTTCCGGGCTTAGGTAAAAAAATACAAAGAAAAGAAAAAGTAATGTATTACTAATCATTGTGAAAATTTAAATTGTTCCCCTAATTTTGCTATGGAGTTCAAATTATGTAAGCTACTAATTTTTATTAAAAAAAATTCTTCTATGGAATAAAATGGAAATTTAATTAAAAAGTCTTTTTAGTGTTCTTTTAAATTTATTCAAATTGTTGTCCGTCTTTATATAAGCCGGCAGGTGTTGCAAAAAATTTAAACCTGAATAATAAGTTTTCTTTTTGAAAAATTCCAATTTATGTCGGGGTAGGTTAATTTTAAACCTAGTGTTATAGTCACCAGTATTGCTTGAAGTGGATGAAAATTGAATTTGTTTTGCATAGACAGATGCTTCATTCCTTAAAATATCTCTTAGCCGATTGTTTTCTTTGCAGTTTCATCATTAGACGAATAGCTCTCTTTTGTTTGATAAGGATAGAATCCAAATTGGTCTTTGATGTTGCTCCATAAATAGATATTCCTTAAGCTATGAGACTATGCAGTAATGAAATAGTTATTTGTGTAACTAGTGGTGAAAGTGGCACTTTGCTGCACACGAGAGCAATGTTTACGCACTCGCCTGCGGCTCGTGCGGAATGATCTCGAGTGCAGCAAAGGCCTTATTCACTCGTGTTACACATTATATTTTTCCTACAGTCACTATAAGGCATATAAATAATTAGTCTTTCAAACACTTATATAACATGTTTCGAGGTTCAGCTGGCAACACAAATGGTGCCCTAGAGAAAGTAGTACCCGCGGTCCGTATCACTCCGCTGTTTTTCCTCGGCAAGAAATGTGCTCCGCGTTTTGAGAATATAGTTCCGTATGTTTTTATAATTTGAAGTGGTTTCCACGCCTAAAAAAATGCTTTGAAGGTATTTTCTTGTTTATTAAGATCGTAGGAATGTTTTAAATACGTTTAAAAGAAAAGTCCAGAAAGTTCAGAAATACCGAAACTATAAACACGAAATGAGAGGTTAAATCGTAGTTATAATAGTCAATCAGCTGCTCATAGTATTATTATCTTTAAGTGTTGCCAACCTATTTCCAAGCGTACACGGATTACGTGCATTATAGAACCACGCTGTTTTGTGTTGTTTCGTTGGAATCCTGATGTGCGGCAAAGTATAAACCGTACGACAAAGTATAAACCGTACGGCAAAGTATAAATATGCAGCAATTAGCAGCTTTCTGTACTATAAACAGTACAAGGAAGCCAACTTTGTCGGGTGACTGTAGGAAAAGTATATTATCCTCAAAGTGTCTATGCTGCAGATCTGAGACATCTGTCTCAAAGCACATACACCAGAAGTCAATTTTTTAACATGTTTAACGTGATTGTCCCAAGTAAGATTATTGTTGATAATTAAACCAAGAAATTTAGTCTGTTCAACTTGGTCTATCTTGTCATTGTTTATACAAATTTTTGCTTCAAATTTTGTTGTTGATTGTTTGGTTGAAAAATATATGAAGTTTGATTTATTGGCATTTATAAGAAGATTTTTTTTTTTTTTAAATAGTATGTACAAAACGTACAATAAATAGTGTCAAGCTTATAATTACTATGTACAAATACTTAACCTAAACAAAAAATACAGAAAATAAAACTATCTATAGCTGTATACGTTCATAAAAAGTTCATCTATTGAGTAGATGGGTTTTTCTATCAAAAATTCTTTAAGTTTTTGTCTTAACTTTTTTTTATCCTTAAAATGTTTTATTTCATTTGGTATTATCTTTAAAAACTTTACACCAGCATATGAGGGCTTATTTTTATACATTTCTAAGTTGTGTTTCGGTAGAACTATATTATTTTTGTCTCTAGTGTTGTATTGATGGGTTTCACAATGTGTTTTAAATTTTTCCTGGTTATTTTTTACATGTACGATACAAACTAAACACAGTTAATAGTTTCAAATTGACAAAATGTTGCTTTACAGACTCATTATAATCTAATTTTAACATTATTCTTATTGCCTTTTTCTGTAAAACAAGTATCTTATCTAAATTTTTCTGGGAAGTGCCTCCATACACTACTATTGCATAAGATATATGTGATTGGATATGGAAATGAAAAACTATTTTTAATGTTGCTAGGTCACTTAAATAAAACATTCTTTTCAAGGCATGGATTCCAGAATTTACCTTACGCACAATGCTTCCTACATGATGATCCCACCTAAGACATTCATCAATATGGATACCTAAAAATGTTGTACAATCAATTTGATTTATTGTGTTGTTGTCAATAAAAATATGAGGGCTACACTTATTATGTTCTGCTTAGTGCTGAAAGAAATAAAATTAGTTTTTTTGTGAATTTAGCATTAATCGATTGTTTACAAAAATTCTTGGATTTGTGATAATTCTATATGAGCTGCTACTTCCAAATCAATCTGACATTTAGCAGATACAATAAGATTAGAATCGTCAGCATACTGTACGAGTTTAGAATTATATATTACATTGTTACACAGACAGTTTGGCATATTCTTAACATAACAAATAAAGAGCAAAGGTCCAAGAATAGATCCTTGCGGGACGCCATGCTTTATACTTTGTGTTGCGGAGGGAATTTTTTGAAATTATAGTGTTATTTATATGACTGATTTCTGTAAATTGCTGCCTGTTGGTGAGATAGGACGTGAACTACTGCAAAGGAGTTTTTTGAATCCCAAGATAATGCAATTTCTGTAACAGCCTTTCATGTGATTCCTATACAAAAATTTAAAAACCTTTGGCCTGACTTGGAATTTAGGTCATAATGAATTATAAAACAGAATTGATAATAAATCTGAGCAGTTCTCCATGGGAGAACCATCCTGAATGTTTCTAAGACCCTCTAACATATTTTTTCCAGAGATCTCAGCACACACCAAGTGACTGACAATGTGTGGTGTCTAGACAAATATGAGTCTCAATCTGGCCTTGTGTTCAACATGACCAATTTGGGCTGTCTTCTGGACTGCACAGAACAGGTATTTATGAACAAGTTTTATTTTACCTGTGTTCTGAAATTAAAATCAATTGCTAAACATATTTTCATGTTTCACTGGTAGTCCCTCTAAAACAGTTTGTTGTAGGTTTGAGTAAAAAAAAAGTATTGCAATATGTTTCAACAAATTTTGTATTTTAAGAAAATATATCACCGTTCTCACACTGTATATGGTAATGGAATCATTTGTATGTTGTTATCAAATATATCAGCAAATTTGTATGAAAGGAAGTAGTGATTACTGTAGTCTTGATGTTTACTGGAATTACATTACTGTTCAGTGTTCCTTGGAGGTCTCCTAGTGATGTGTCAAAACCGAATCTCAAATCTCAAAACCATCAAAACTTTGGAAAAGTTTCGGTTTCGAGATTCGATCACCAAGTTTCGAGATTCAAAAGTTTCAAAATTCAAGAGTTTGGCAGTTTTATTTTTAAAACTGCTGACATTTTTTGTGTCATTATTATTGTAAATAACACTGTTTCCACACAAGCTCGTAGCAATAGAGCATACATATCACCATCAAAAGTAATGAAACAAGTAAATTGTATTCTGAACTTCAAAAGGCATCTTAAATACTCTATAACTCGAACGACGTACAATTCAGTTTCACATCAATATTTCATAACACAGAGAAATATTGACTACTAAATGTTCTAATTAATCTAATATTCATGTTTATGTTGGTGTTAGGGGTTTAATTTATTTTAATGTTGGTTGTTTAAAAAAAAAATGTTGTATTTAAGTTTAAGATTATCAGATAAACATTTATGTTATGTCAGTGTCAGGAGTAGATCTCTTTCAGTTTTGATTGCATTCCTTAAACATTTTATTATTACCTATATTTGTAACCTTGACCTATGTAACCAGCTAAGTAAAAAAGTTTCGCGTTAAGGTTTTGAGATTCGAAATTTCTGGTTTTGACCATCACTAGTCTCCACATTGTTTTGTAAATGTAATTAGACACAACATCATGAAAATAATAGTCAGATAATACTGAAATAATACTGAAAATAATAATCAGTTAATCTGTTTTACTGAAATTCCAGAAATTAATTTAGTTATAAATAAATTAGTTGCCGTTGATGTTAATTGAACACAATGGACAAAACAATATCAATGGACAATCAGTTTTACGGAAAGTAATCAGTTTTAGTCACCTTCACCTTTTTCTTATTTCTGATACCCCACTCTTTTAACCCCTTGGTTAATTTAATTGTTACATTTAGGTTATGATCGTAAAAACCCCTTTCCAAAAATATCTAATGATGACTTTAAAGGCTGAGAGGCTACGTAGAGCAGTGATAGACCTAACATTGCCGGACTTCAGCCCCAAACTGTCATCTCGAGTGCTCAAGGCTAGCGTGGACCTGTTGAGCGACCTCAACGATCAACAGCGCAAGGCGATATTCAGGGCACTGGCTGCTGATCACTATATCCTCATAAAGGGAATGCCTGGCACGGGTATGTTACTGTTCCTCGTGATATTTAGAACTAATTTTGTAATTTTGTTATGTGTGTTTCAATGCATTTAGCATTTAGTTTATTGTAAAGGAGTAGCCCAAACCCTCGTCTTGGTTTTATCTCATGTCATGATAGCCCATTGACATCTTGATCCAAAATCGGCATATGGTGAAAACTATAATGGATTTAATTAAAACTCTTTGGGGAGACTTTAGGGACATTTTAGTGAATATTTTGTAGATTTGTGTTGTAATTAATGGTACAATAAAAAGATCTGATATTAGTTCACCAATGGCTTACAGTTAAAAAAATTTTCAATTATTTAATTGACAGAATACACGGAATATAAATAGTAAAACCAACTTTAATAGAGCGTCCCTCAAAACTTAAAAAGACTTTTAAGACACAATAGAAACTAATGGTTTCAGGAATATACAAGTAATCTTTCTTCAACAGAAACATCAAACTACTCTTAATGGAAGGTAACAAAAAACTTCAAGAGACCAAAATCGTCTGTTCCCCCATTATTAAAACCTGATCGTTCGTGGGCTAAAAGCTTGGACGAAAAAGCAAAATTATTTGCATCTCACTTCTCCCAAGTATTGATGCCGCATACCAGTGCAACAAACTCTCCTGAGGTACAGGAATATCTGGATTCACCCAATCAACTGGATTTCCCTATCCAAACATTCACAAAAAATGAGATAAAAATATGCATCATCCGTGAATTACGTTGAAATAAATCTCCAGGATATGATCTAATCACTGCAAAAATATTAAAAGAGCTCCCTGAGAAAGGTTTTGAGTTCTTTACTCTAGTATTCAATGTCATTCTCCGCCTTGAGTACTTTCTGACTGAATGGAAGGTTTCAGAAATTATCGTTCTACCAAAACCTGGAAAACCCCCAAACGAAGTAACCTCATACAGGCCCATCAGTCTCCTTCCCATAACGTCTAAAGTATTTGAAAAACTACTTTTAAAAAGACTAGGCCCACTCTTGGATGAACATAATGTTATACATAATCATCAATTCGGCTTTCGTCAATACCATTCTACTATTCAACAAGTGCACCGACTTTCAGACAGAATAAGACAGAGCCTGGAGAAAAAAGAATATTGCTCTGCAGCGTTTCTTGACGTAAGCCAAGCCTTTGGTAAAGTGTGGCATCCTGGACTTTTATTCAAAATTATAAAGGTTTTCTCCCTCATAACTATTTTGTATTGTTTAAATCTTACCTGGAAAACAGACATCTATATAATTAATACGCTACATGAAACTTTGTCGGTTGAACTCCTCCGCCATTTCTTAACCGATTTTATCCATTGTCGTCTCATTGGAAAGAGCGTGTAGCGTAGATTTGCAAACTGACCTTACATTTTCGAAAAAGTCCCTTGGGCTCTGCCCCGGTGGCTGTTAAAGTTCCCATGTTATCCTTATGAAGGACATAATTGTTTACATTTTGGTAAGCTGTATAATTTAATTGCTGTTATTTATTTTTCAATTCAAAGTCTTTTAAACTCATCGGAAATTATGATGACTTTTATTTGTTTTTAAAAAACTACTTTACTTCTTTTCAATTGCTCGATTTCGAGCAACGTGTTTACTAGTTTTAGAATAAAGCACCAAGGAATTTACACCAAGCTACACAAAATAGAGTCAGGTGTACTGCAGGGAAGCATCCTGGGACCAATTCTGTATCTCATATATACGTCAGACATACCCGAAAATACAAATTTTTTTTATTCACATTTGCAGACGACACAGCACTCCTAACATCCCATGAGGACCCATTTTTAGCTTCTCAAACACTACAAGATGGCCTAAACAGTCTTTCCACCTGGCTACAAAAATGGAGAATCAAAGTGAACGAAAGCAAGTCAGCACACATAACTTTCACCACCAAAACCTCTAACTGTCCCCCAGTCCACTTAAATAACGTACTTCTGCCTCACCACGATGAAGTAAAATATTTGGGCATCCACTTCGACAGAAAACTTACTTAGCGAAGCCATATTTGGAACAAATGGCAACATCTAAATTCAAAGTTTCTACAAATGACCTGGTTCATGAATAAAAATTCAAAACTGTCAATAGAAAATAAATAATTGCTTTACAAGGTTGTCCTCAAACCAATTTGGGCATATGCCATTTCTTTGTGGGGAACAGCTTCAAAATAAAACTTGGATATATTACAAATATTTCAGTCAAAATTACTAAGAACCATCCTGAAAGCCCCTTGGTATGTATCCAACGTCACCATTCACAATGATTGCAAAATTCCATTTGTTACTGAAGAAGTTACGAGCTGCAGTAAAAAATACATCTCCAAGCTTGAGTATCATCCGAACCATTTGGCCCTCAACCTCCTAGACAACAGTCAACATGTCTACAGATTAAAAAGAGAAAATGTTTTAGACCTTCCGACTCGATTTGTACATCAGCTCTGAAATTTCTTTTCTTTGGTTTTTTTTGTTAGTGCTAAAGCTGTTTAGCTGCTAACTCATGTTTTCAAATTTTTATTTTATTTATATAAATGTCATCATATTTACTTACAGTATTGTTTATTGTAAAACTGATTGTAAAAAAAATTATTTAATTACTAGCTGAAGCCTTTACTGCTTGATTGTAAATTAAACAATCACCAATTAACTCATAGTGTCTTTATGTGTTGAAAAAAAACATTCTCTGAAATTTGTTTAAACATCTATAATCCGTTTTCAGTTGAAAAAAAAAGTCAATCATAATACCCCCGCCGCAGCAAACCTGCCGACTAAGCGAATTTCCATTTGTCTGAATTGATTTTCAGTGAAATATATTTTAATAACATTAGGTTTAACGAGTACCTAGGTTTGCTGCTACAAGGAAACTAATAAAGTGTGTTTTTGAGTAAAATATTGATAGCTTAGTACAAAATAAATAAATTTGCCAAGTTTGATCAAAATATATCCATAAACAAGCAAACTACAACATTTGACAATATTCTCCATAAGAATAACATGGGTATTTTAAATTTACAATTTTTTTAATTTTCTCCGTTACTAATAATCGAACAAAAATACTTTTATATACTAAATTATTTGTTTTTTTAAGCTCTTTAAAGAGGTCTAAAGAGAAATCGGGAAATTTTGTGTTTTGAGGGTCAAAAGTGAGAAAAACCAATTTTTACCCCATAAAACCCCCCGTAAAGCCCCGTTCCCATGGTCCGATCGTGCTGGTTCGCGAACTCATTCAAGTTTCTCCCGCTTTACACCTTTAAACCAAATTTCATCAAAATCGGACAAAAATTACTCAAGTTATCGCGTTCACGGACGTATATATATATATATAAGTCTATATATATATATATATATATACATATATAAAAATTTGAACGAATGGTGTTTTTGGCCTCTGGGGACATCAAAATGAAAAAGTAAATCGGTCCCGGGTCTAGGTCTTACCGTGCCACCTACGGTAATAGCTACTTCCCTATAGGGAAATTCGCTAAAAAATAACATAAGTATCCAGAAAATCCCCTTGATTAAAAAGTTAAATTTATTAAATGTGTTTATCCATATTTGTTATAATAGTTATTTGTTTAAATAGTGAGCAAAGTGGCACTCTGCTGCACACAAGAGCAATGTTTACGGAATGATCTCTAGTGCAGCAAAGTCCTTTTGCACTCGTGTTACACGTTATATTTTTCCTACAGTAACTATAAAACATATAAATAGCCTAATTAGTCTTTCAAACACTATACAACACGTTTTTAGGTTAGGTTAAACCCAAGTCATGAACGGAATGGGAAATACTGCACCAGGTGATTGTAGTCGTAGTATCTTTAAGTGTTACTTATTTTCAAGAGTACAGGTATAAACAGTAATAATCAGTAAACATAATAATAATCATAGTAACATAATAATCAGTAGTAATTTTTGCATATGCATTTTGCGATTACAGCACAATAATAAACAAGGAGATTGTTCTTCAAAATATGCCAATAAAACATTTTCTGACAGTTTTGTAACTTTCTTACTTACTTACTTAGGAAAACAGTTTGCTCTTTCATACTTCTTTCTTGATTTTTCAGGTAACAGGTTTAATGAAACATGTTTTCAGTTTCTGCTATTTCTGGTCTACCATTATATTCACAATCACTTTCACCGAGTTCATTATTTTTAAACATATTAGGCCCACTTAATTCATCTTTCAAATATTACACTTCAGGTTAGTCATAGTCATATAATCTTTATTCAGGAGTACAACATGTTGCACCAGAATGGCGTTATATGTTATGTTCAAACCAAGCATTGAACGAAAATATAATATAAACTATAAACACGAAATGACAGGTTAAATCGAAGTTATAATAGTCAATCAGCTGATCATAGTATTATTATCTTCAAGTGTTGCCAACCTATTTCCAAGCGTACACTGATTACATGTATAATAAAACCACGCTGTTTTGTGTTGTTTGGTTGGAATCCTGATGTGCTCCAAAGTAAGTAAATGCAGCAATTAGCAGCTTTCTGTACTAAAATCAGTGCATGGTAGCCAACTTTGTCGGGGGACTGTAGGAAAATTAAATGAAACTACTTAGTAGAGGTGTTTGGGTCTGAGATTTTCAATCAAGCCCAGCTTTTGGAAAAAAGTTTTGAGTCTGGAGTTTTTTTCCAAGCCAAACTTTTTTATGTAGGTAATGAATATGAAATAATAAGTTAACTTGTCACAAATATTCTTTTCAAAATCCAATATAGGCCTAATGTCATAATGTAAAGATAGATTTAAGTACATAAAAGTATGACAAAACATAGCACCAATTTAATATAAACAAAGCACAGAGTTAAAAATAAATCTCATCTTATTTTATTTTCTTCAAAAGAAATTTTTTTATTGGTTATACAATGTCATTATGACCATAATCCGTTGTTGCGGTAATATCGTGATCATCTCTTACGGTCTCAGAAACATCATCATTGTCTCCAACGGTTGCGGTAAAATCCTGATAATCTTCCATGGTTATGAAAACATTATTATTATCTACATCGATTGCAGAAAAATCCTGAACTCCTCCTATGGTCATAGAAAACTTTGCTCCCACGTCTGCGGAAAATTCTTGAACATCTCTCGCGGTAGCTGAGACATCATCATCGTTTTTCACAGTTTGCAGAAAAATCAAGACCTTCGGTAATGTGGTCATCATCTACCTCTGTAATCGAAGATAAACCGTGAATATCTTCCCTGGTTGTGGACAACTCACCATCCTCTCCCTCAATAACGGTTAATCATTTTCCGAGATCAGGACAAAAGAATGAATTTCTCAACTGCTCAATTTTTGCATATGCATTTTACGATTACAGCACAATATTAAAACTTGGCTCAGTTTCTCGACTTGGTTCTCGGTTTCTCCAGATTTTAGACTAGGCTCGACCCGAAATAGAGCTGCTTGCACACCTCCAGTAGTTGGTTTGGTTAATAATTTAATTCTTACTTCCTCCCCCTTCCCCCTAGACATTAAGTATATGGAGAACGTATTTTTTAATCAACATTTTTGAATTTGTTTTTGGTGGAAATATTTCTTTTGGGTCTCCCTGAATCCAAAAAAGTGGTTTTCAAAGTGATGTCCATGTGTGTGGATGTGTATGAGCTACAGATTAAACCTGTGGTGAAATTTGTTTTGCGGGTACTAATCCATAGCATCCACAGGCTTTTGTTAAATTTGTTTTTCAAAACTTGTATTTTCAAAAAATTGCTCAAATGAATTTTATTAAAATTTAGTATGTTATGATCCTTTCAATTCTAAACAAAACAAAATGGTACAACCCCCAATGTTGTAAAAAATACGGTTCAACAAACTACGCTAGAAAACTACAACCCAGCCTCACTACAGAACTTTCAAGCACTGTAATTCTTGATTTGACACACACTCAGCGGTAGACATGTTGTAGGCAAGACAGCAACCATAGTGGCTCTGGTACAGCTAGCAGTGAGATTGGGTCGCAGTGTTCTCATTACGTCACACACACACTCAGCTGTAGACAACGTGTTGCTGAGGCTACTAGGCAAGGTAGACTTCCTCAGGCTAGGTGCTGCACACAAACTTCACCCACAGTTGGCACAGTATGGTGAAACCAACCAAGCATTTGCTTCTCCTGAGGAATTGTACACGTTTTATTGTTCCAAGGTTTGATATAACTTTTATTGTACTGCTAAATTGTTTGACTAAGTTTGGAACACAAATTTCTTACAAACTGAAAAAGCTTAGTAAGAAATATCATACAAAATAATGTGCAGTAACAATGTGGCGAAGAAAATTGCCACCATAATGGGGGTATTAATCAAAAAAGGACAAAGAATGTCCCATTCACTTGTTTTTGTGTTCAACTGTCAACATTTTTGGCAGTAAAGTTTGCCACTAACAATGTGAACAAAGTTTGTATTGTCACTGATAACTTTAGTAAGAGGGTCGTTTTGTAAGTAAGTGCCATTTTTGTGTATAACTATAACTCTGTAGTTTGCTACTAGGCTTCTTGCCGCTTACTTGCATAAAGCTAGGTTTACACCAGCATGTAGCAGTGGCACCAAAAATGTACTGTGTAAACCCTAAATGACGCGCCATTTTTAGTGGAGTGGTGCAGTGGCGTACCATTAAGAGTGACGCCACTAATATATGTTTCGACATATCTTAGTGGCGTCAGTTGTGATCCACCGGGAAAACTGTAAAAATCATGAATTATACATGAATATTAAGACGCCGGGAACTATGCGGGAATTTACCGAAATTCTGTAATTATGGCAGTAATATATGGGAATTTTTTGGGATAGATTTTTATTTTAAATATTCAACAATTACTGAGAGTCAAGCAGAACACGTTAAAAATTTTTCTTCAAACAGAAAAATGTATTAGCGTAAAAAGCTAAATCAGCATTTTACAAAAACGACAGGCTACGAACGCCATTTTCTCTAAACCGTCCAGCCCAGGACCAGGATTCGGGATACTACGTCAGAGCTCGGTTTCTGAACGATGACGCGAGGCGTGAATACAAAAACTCTAAACTCTATGTCTAGTGGCATGTCCGTGGAATGCCCTCAATTTTAAAATCAAACATAGAAGCCAAAAGCCAGTTACTATTGTACGCAGACGATTCAAACCTAATTATTTCAGCTAAAAATTACCAAAATCTTGAACTGGCCTGTAATGAAAATTTGAGTAAAGTTCAATCATATTTTCTTAAAAATAAACTTTTTTTAAACTGTCAAAAAACCAACCAAATTGTTTTTTCAGCCTCACAAAGAAAAGAAACAATAGAACCAAACATCCTGGTTGGAAACGAAAAAATAGAAAATCTAAAGCATACTAAATTTTTAGGGCTTTACGTAGACACATATTTTAAATGGGATTATCATACACAATTCATAACACAAAAAATTTTTTCAGGGTTATATGTTTTGAGGCGTATGTCACTATTATGTAGCCTGGACACCCTAAAATCAATATATTTTGCGCGCATATACATTCCCATCTGTCTTATGGTCTGGCAATCTATGGAGGAACGTCTAAACAAAATTTAGATACAGTTCTGAAACTCCAAAAAAAAGCTATAAGAATCATGCTATACTTGGACTAACGAATAACTGTGAAGGATAAATTTTCAAAACTACATATTATGACTGTGTATGATCAGTATATAGCAGAATGTATTATGTGTGTCAAAAATCAACTACACAATTTGGAAATAAGAAAAAATGTCCATTCATATGACACTAGAAATAAGAATGATATAAATTTATCAAAACATAACCTCAGCTTCTTTGAAAAAAAGGGAACCTTTATGGGATCAAAATTTTTAAACCATCTTCCTACAAAATTAAAAAGTAAAATAAACCAAAATAATTTCAAAAAACTAGTTAAGAATCATCTGTTGCAAACGAGTTATTATTCATTTGAAGAGTTTTTTCAATGTAAAAACGACTAAATAAATAAGGTCGAGGTGCTATGATGGGAAAAAATAAAAAAATGAAACTGTATGCGGTTCCTACTTTTCTGTAAATCGAAATCAAAATGCATACAAATTAGTTATAGTCTGACACTATTCATGTATGTATATACAATATGAATAAAGAATTTTTGATTTTATTTGATTTGATCTGTGGTCTAATGTCTTGGCTGTCTGCTACGCTCATCTAGATCGACAACTTAGAAAAAAAATTTGTTTTTTAGTTCTTGTTTACGGATGTCCAATATTTCTGGGATTTAGAGGTAATTTTAAATATACTAGATGTTAATAATCAACACGATAATGTATGATTTGTATTTTGTCAAGGTATCTAAACTTATATTATATATTTTTTAAGTTGGAAGTGACAAAACCTCAAAGCAACATCTTTACAACATTTCACAGTTTCATCCGTTGACCAAGGTGTTGTGTCTATTCTTAATTAATTATTTTTTTATGTCTAGTGTATGAATGTTAAGGTATGAATGTATGAATGTAAGGTAATAATTGTTCATTATTAATCCTACACTCTATGAAGTGTTTAGGCTTCCTGGTGGTGTGATAACCGACGGAAGGTCTAATAACGCTTGAACTGCAGCGTTTGTCCAAACTGTGCTCGTCCAATATGTACTGTATGTCCAATATCAGAAGGGTGAATATCGTGTGTTACTTGCACTGCACTCTCTTTTGGCGTAATAGTACAGAAGGTTGAGAATCGCTTGACAAATTAGCGAAAGAGAGTGAGAGAATAGATTTTGTTTTCTGATTAGGACGTCATTAGGGCCTAACTGTTGTACAATTGTACAAGACAAAAAAATGTTTGTTATTGTTTACAGCGAAAATCACACGAGTTTTAGTTACCGTACCCTACTTCCTTAGTTTAGACCATATTTAATCGTTTTGATTTTAATCAATTAGGCATATTCTTAAGACACCACCAATCTTAAATTTACTTAGTATAAAAATTCCGAGCAAAGTAAAACCTGATGCGACGCAAGGGTGAAGAGTGAAGGCTTTGACCTTGATCCAGCACTTCTATTTTTAGCGCAGTTGAACAATAGCCAAATATACGGCTAGATGGACGCCGAGTGTAGGGGTATCCCTCACGACCCTACTTAAGTAAATATAATTTACAATGCAGCAAGCTTTTGATTCTATCAAATTTCTAGCTTTGTTTTAAATGTAATTCACGGGAAATTGTGTCCCGGAAGTTGTAAACAGTGTAAAGTTTGATCCAAATCTACTTATTATTGTAAATAACTCATTAATTTGTGACGTCCATAAAAATGGTGCGCAACAAATCACCAGCTCACTCCTAACCCACAATTCCGTGCAACTGTCCCAACTCCCAAGTAATTTGTATATTGATGATTCATCCAATTCCAATGACCAATCTTACATGCCTAAATACCTTTATCTGCAATACTAAAATGCTATGGGAAGGCAGGGAAACAGGTCTGCGACGTAGGAAGAGATAAAGGAAGTAGTCAAGGCGAGAAGTGCGGAGTGTAGAGAACCCTTTGTGACAGTTAGATTTATGTATCTGCGATACTAAAATGCTATAGGAAGGGAGGGAAACAGGTCCATGACCTAGGAAGTAGCGAAGGAAGTACAGTAAACCCTCTCTTATCCGGATCTCCCATATCCGGACCCTCCGATATCCGGACGCGATTTTGAAAAAATGCAAAAATTAAAAAAAACACTCTAGGGCGAATGTTTGTTGACCGAGCAGTCGCTGTTTGTAGGCCGGTTAGAAACGCTGGCGCGCCGGGAGGGTTGTGCGACGTGCAGTCTCGCGGGCAAGGTCACTGACTCACGAAACAAAAATAGAATCCCTCCCCCACCCCTCCTACCCGCCCCTCCTACCTAAAACCTCCTAAGAAATTAGTTTGTTAGCTGTAATTTAGTATAATGACGCCATTCGATGTATACCACTGTATATAATATGAATAAAGACATTTTCAATTCAATTCAATTCAATTCAATTCAATTCAATACCCATGCCAACGCCCTACTCATGCGCGGCGACGACAATTCATCACTTGTGTCAGTTGTCAGTGCTGCTTTTTTTTGCCTCAGTGACCTAGTCTTTGTTTGTACGGTTCGTTTTAGTTTCGGGAAGCTAGTGCTAGAGGCGAATAAGTTGTTATGGCTGAAAAAAGAAAAAAGATTGTCATTACGATGGAGGACAAACTTAACGCGTTGAAACGTTTGCAAGCGGGAGAAAGTGCAAAAAAGATAGCGAGTGAGATGGGAGTGGGGACTAGTACAGTGAGTGACTGGAAAAAATCCCGTGAAAAAATAGAAAAATGGTGTTCTAACCAGGCATCAAGTTCAGGAATAAAAAAGTGCAAAATGATGAAAACAGCCGTGAATGACAAAGTGAACGAAGCGTTATTTTTGTGGTTTACACAATGTAGATCAAAAGGACTGCCCGTGTCTGGACCCATTTTGCAGGAAAAAGCTCTCCAATTTAATAAGGAAATCGGAAATGATCCCAATTTCAAAGCCAGTGAGGGGTGGTTGGAAAAGTGGAAGAATCGATATGGGGTCAGAAAGCTTCATATAAGCGGAGAAAAGTTGTCAGCAAATGAAAACGCTGTGGGAGAGTTTAAACTGTTTTTACACAAGCTGCTTGACGAGGAAGGAATCAGCGGGGACCAGTTATACAACTGTGACGAAAGTGGTCTGAACTTTAAAATGCTACCTAGCTGCACTCTCGCTTCCAAGGAAGAAAATAGCGCTCCAGGCTATAAGAAGAAAAAGGAGAGGGTTACAATAATGGCCTGCAGCAACGTCACAGGGAACAATAAACTCAAACTCTGCATGATTGGAAAATCAAATAAACCACGAGCGTTTAAAAACTTCAAAGATCAGTCGACATTACCGGTGTGGTACAGAGGACAAAAAAGCGCTTGGATGAATTCTGCGATCTTCAGAGAGTGGTTTAACAATCAGTTCGTCCCGTCTGTTGAAAAGTTTGCTGAAAAAAACAATTTGCCAAAGAAGGCTATTTTATTGCTTGACAACGCCCCATCACACCCGTCTGCAGATGAATTAACAAGTGGAGAAATAAAGTGCGTGTTTTTGCCGCCGAACGTAACCTCTTTGTGCCAGCCAATGGATCAGGGGGTCCTTGAAACACTTAAACGTTTGTATCGACGTAAGCTACTGACGATCATTATT